TCATAATAAATCTGGATGGATATATATTCAGATTTATCATAATAAGATTTATCCAATTTAAATTTGTCGCTATATTTTGAGATGCAGTAAGTACTCTCTTTGTCTCAAAAAGAGCAACTCCTAGGTATGTATTTGAATATAACATATGTCTAGCTACATAGTTAGGATCGTTTTTTTTTAAGACCGAGGGAGTACATGGATTGTGAATCTTGCATTCAGACGAGAGAGGACGCTGGCATGGATGGATGCATGCATGCAGCTAGCTAGACAGACGACTCCACAAGTCCTCATGCATCGTGCATGCATGCATGGCACGCCCTTTAAAAACGAGCTTGGCATGCATGCATCTGCATGTGCCATGTGAATCGTGATCACTTCTCTATCTCTCTCTCTCGTACAGCAACCTAGCTAGCGTAGTGTGTGTGTGTGTGTGTGGTGGGGTCTCGCTTGATCCAGGCACGCTTTTGTGTGTACACGGAAAACTGCTCTTTAATCGGTTTCGTACGAGCTGAGCAGGTGATGTTTGAATTTTTTTTATTTATAATTTTTTTTATTAAAAGTTTTACAAAAATAATTTTCCATTTTGAAAATTGACGGAAATAGTCGCCTACCGCCCTCTGGGAGGGCGATTTTTAAAAATCGCCCTCCCAGAGGGCGGCGAAAATGACGTGGCAGACGGCCGTTCGCTCTCGGGCGACGGCCGTCAACGAAATTTGCAGGCGGCCCCCTTGCCGCCCTCCGCGAGGGCGATTTTCTACTGTGCGGGGGGCCGCCTGCAAATGGGCGGCGAGGGGGGGCATGGAATTTTGCAGGCGGCCCCCTTGCCGCCCTCCGCGAGGGCGATTTTGTACTGTGCGGGGGGCCGCCTGCAAATGGGCGGCGAGGGGGCATGGAATTTTGCAGGCGGCCCCCTTGCCGCCCTGGGGGAGGGCGATTTTTGCCTCCCCCCTATAAAGCCCAGCCCCTCCCCTGTCAAATTTCATTATATTCACTAAAAATCCAAAAAAACGAAAGAGAGAGAGAGGGGAGGGCAGCAGAAGGGGAGCGGCGAAGCCCTGCTGGTTCGCTCACTTCATCACAGGTATGCTCCCATACATCTTTTGCATTTGTACTAATATATTACGTTTGAGTACATATGTTGCGTTTTAGTTTTAGTTCCATATATTTTAGCAGATCTGTAGCACACAGCACATATGTGTAGATCCAGAGCATAGAATATAATAGTATGAATTGAGACATAGACAGTAGTGTTAATTGTAAGATGTAGTTTAGTTTGATCTGGAGAATGTAACCTACTTTTAGAGGAGGTGATCAACGAGCTCTTCCCACACACGGAGGAGAACTACCGTGACTACCTTCGCTGGTACCTTCCTCGCACTCGTGCGCGTGTGACCTTCACTCCAGACGCCCCAGAGCCGCACGTTGCCGCTGTCACGGACGCGTATCCCACGCACCGTGACCGAGACTACTTCGTGGCGGTACGTCCAATTTGTATTACTTCCAACAATTATGTCATTTATCTTGCATAATATAGGACAACTACTGAATTTTTTATTTCCATCTTGCATAGGCTGATGCGGCACGGGATATCAGTGCCGATATCACCGCAGTCCAGGTGAGGTTGAGCAGAGGTTTGCACTTGACTGACGTTGAGCAGAGGTCGACCTTCGACCGGATGCAGGAGAAGATGCGTGCGGTCATGCGCGTCTTCTCCTGTCGCAGCGCCGTGGACGTCGTACCTCCAGCTGGTCCGGTACACCCACGGCCTCGCGGTCCTACCGTCGGAGCAGGACCTCGTTTGTCTTCGAGCGCCCCTAGCTTCGGAGCAGTGCGACCTACAGCACCGGTTTCGCACGGTACAGTTCAGCCCAGATATTAGTTCATTTTTGTTTCAGCTTTTGCACGAATGTGTCACCATGATTTAACTGCACGTTTCCTCATCGCAGGACCTCGTATGCCTTCGAGCGCGTTCGCAGGCACGACCGGCGCTTCCGCGAGCTCCGCAGGGGCGTTCGCCACCTCTTCGGGCGCGTTCGCCAGCTCTTCCTCTCACGGAGCGTCGATCCCTCACCCACACGGTACTTTACTTTTTATTAATACTGTTAAATACCTGTACGAAACTGATGGTCCTTGTCCAGCAGGATTTGCAGCCGGGATCTTCGGTACTGGGGCCTCTTCGTCTCACGCCGGTAGGACTGGTCCTACTAGCCAGTTCTACGACGACGACTTGCACGGTGCAGACCACCAGGACGTACTAGGCTCCTCTCAGCTTGGAGGAGCTCCAGAGGCGCACACTCAGGAGCAGCCAGAGGTCACACCTGTACAGGCAGGACGGGTTGGCCGTGCCGTACCCCCGGACCGACTCACGTACTCCCAGGGGCACATTAGGGCGCAGGGTAGGAGGGACAGGGGTAAGAGGCCTCGTCAGTAGTGTTCTACCTCTTCAGTCCTTATGTGACCGTTTCTTTTGGCTTACAAACTTGTAAAGCAGTACTACTTTTGCTATTACTACTGCAGTACTACTTGTGTTTGTCTCGTCTACGTAGTTCTTTTCATTCGTATTGTGCTCGAACAACTTATGCTCACAACAACACACTTTCGGCGCTTCACGGTAGTGCCATATCCAGTAGCGCGCACAGTCCACAACAGCACACATGAAAATGGAAGCCTATTAATTGGTAATACGTAATCTACAATTGAGATTATGTACAACATTCTTCACTACAATTTTACATTTTGGCAGCAAACCAAATATGATCAAATGCAATTTTACCTTACCAAATATTTGGTAGTGCCAAAACTTGCTTATATTTTGGCATTAACAAAATATTTGTACGGTAACATTCCAAATATGCCCTAAAAAATAATAAAATTGTATTTTACCAGTCTTGGAGATTTTAATCTTGTATAGTTTTCAATATAAAAAGATTTGATAACTATTGATATTTATATAAAAAAAATATAGAGCACAGTGCAAAATCGCCCTAGCGGAGGGCGGCAAGGGGGCCGCCTGCAAAATTCCATGCCCCCTCGCCGCCCATTTGCAGGCGGCCCCCCGCACAGTGCAAAATCGCCCTAGCGGAGGGCGGCAAGGGGGCCGCCTGCAAAATTCCCTGCCCCCCTCGCCGCCCATTTGCAGGCGGCCCCCCGCACAGTAGAAAATCGCCCTCGCGGAGGGCGGCAAGGGGGCCGCCTGCAAATTTCGTTGACGGCCGTCGCCCGAGAGCGAACGGCCGTCTGCCACGTCATTTTCGCCGCCCTCTGGGAGGGCGATTTTTAAAAATCGCCCTCCCAGAGGGCGGTAGGCGACTATTTCCGTTAATTTTCAAAATGGAAAATTATTTTTGTAAAACTTTTAATAAAAAAAATTATAAATAAAAAAAATTCGGTGATGTTTGGTGCGCATATGCTCTGTTTTTATTACTACCAGACGATTCCAAACTTCCTGTGTAGAAGTAGTAGGAGTACTTTATTTGAGCCCTGCCTTTTTATGATTGTAAACCATGAATTTCTTCAAAATCTTAGTATAAGGTTTTCGCATAGATCGGTTCAATTTACAAATGGTTATTGTGTGTGTTGGAAAGAGGAATCCGGTGTTCTAAAGATAATATTATGGGATTCGAGAATGTTTAAATCTCAACACTATTCAGTCGAAGCTCGACGAATTTCACATCTCCAAAAAAAATAAAATCAGTTCAATAAACGATTTTATAGGTCGGATAAAACCATCTTCAATTCCTACGAGCCTTAAAACTGGTGAGCACGAAGTACTATATAGAGACTTGTACGATTTCATTGGATCGATAATTCCTACTTCTTCCGTCCCCGAAAAAAACGAATCTAGTACTGAATGGATATATTCTAGGACAATGAATCTGGACATAGGTATATCCAGATTCATAGTACTAGTACTAGTATGTGTCACATCTAGTATTATGTTGGTTTTTTATGAGACGGAGGGGATAGTTTCCTACCACGTGAAATATGACATTGTTTGAGTCTGATGAAGATAAATATTAAATTAGCGCACGTAAAATGAGAGTCATTGGTATATAATTAATTAACTTATAGTTATTACAAACTTATCAAATGAACATACTCAATTTGATATTTTAAAACAACCTCTACGTAGAAAAGTTTTCGTACCAAACGTAACGTTTAATAGTTTGTAAAAGGTGATAACGAAAACTAAGATAAAAGGGTGTTTGAAACTTTCTATATATATATCTATCCCTCACCAAATTCTAGGGTCGCAATGAACAGTTGTTGTACTGCATCCGTCACTCACTCTCACTCACACCAACATCCCCAAATCGCAATCGATGGCTGCAAGATAACCACCCTTTTTTTTTCGATCGGTACCACGCAACGCATGCAACGCATCGACCGGTTGCTTGCGGCCGGCGACTCCCCTTCCCTCCCAAAAGATTCTCCCCATCTCGGGGTACAATAATGCCGCGTGCACGCCGGCCGGCGCCACCGCATCAGCAGCAGCAAGCTAGCGGGCGTCAAAACACCAGGACCCGTTTTTCTTCTCTTTTTAATTTTTCACTCTTCCTCTTTATGACCACATGCCCCTCTGCGTGGTGCCAATCGGCATCACGAGGCAGATGATCTGCAGCTAGCTGAAAAAAAAATTGACCAATGTTGGGTTGTCATTTTTTACTACTGCTAAAGCTGTTTTGTTACTCCCTTCATTTTATATTATAAGTCGTTTGATTTGTTTTTCTTAGTTAAATTTTTTTAAGTTTGATCAAGTTTATCATATAGTAGTATTTTCAACACAAAATAAACATAATATAAAATATATTTAATGTCAGATTTAATGCAATTCGATATTTTGGATGTTGCTAAATTTTTCTATAAACTTGATCAAACTTAATAAAGTGTGTAAAAAAATCAAACGACTTATAATATGAAATGGAGGGAATAGTATCCACATGCTGTATGCAATGACGCGCAGCTGCTGCAAAAATCACAGTTGAACAAGACCATTCGCATTTCACGTAGGAAGGTTGGAGCCTCTGAAATGAGATGCAAGCAGAACAGCCCAGCCCGTAAACACACCTGTAGTAGGATATTGGTGGTTCGCAGGTTGGCCTCTACTTGTCTTTGCAAACTGCAGTTTCAGTTGTATTGATAAGTATAGTAGCAGCTGTAGGCTTGTAAGCATAGTAGCAGCATTGATCAGGAATCTTGTGGTATACAAATCTCTGTCACACTTTTGAGTAAAGCAGCTATCACTGATCAGTGCCAAAAAGAGAGAGAGGAAGATCTCGCCGGACATTGCGCTTTTGGGTGGCTCTCCTTGTATTTGTGGTGTGTGAGTAATTACAGGTGTAATGTAAGTATGTAGCATATGCTGTGAAAGAAGCGAAGAATTCAGGGCAGGATCAAGGATCATCATCATCTAGGGGAGAAAATGGTGGCCAAGCCCTGATCCACCGTCAGTTGGATGGGAGGGCCATAGGCCATCAGGTGCTCTATCTCGTCGCCAGTGTGTGATCCATCCCCTCTCGCGATCACCTCGCCATCGGAGTCGATGATGCCGCCCTTGGTGGTGCTGCCCACCCGCATTCCCGGCTCAATCCTGAGAGCCTTCACCTGTCAGAGATTTTACATTGGGTTGAGAAAGAAAAAAAAGGAGAAAGTGGCACGGAATCAAACGATTGAATGGCATTATCTCGGTGGATTTTGCTGTGTGAAACTGCAGAGGCCGAAGATATAAACCATTTCCATTATCTAAAAAAAATGTCTCGGTGGATAGCATGGCATTTTCTTTTACACTGAGGAACAGAGATGGAGTGGTCAGGAAACAGAGGGGTAAGTAAACACAGTACCTTGAAGTACTCCACATAGGGGGATTTGACATAGCTGCCATCCTTCATCTGAAACATCAGCCCAGCAAGAGCCGACCTAGGGCAGTCCTTGATTATGGCTACATCCAAGTAGCCATCTCCAAACTGCAATGTAATGAAGAATAGTCAGGGTATGGACTGTGGACAATCAAGAGCCTTGTAGAAATAGCAGAAAATGATTGACAACACCACTGAATGATTGGCGACCTTTTGACACTTGTATTAAAAAAAACTAAAGAGACAGCTTTAGGGCTTAATAGGATGTAGACACTTTTAAATACAGTATTTATTTAAGCGTCTGAATATTCATTGCTACTAACCCAATAGCCAGCTTTCTATTGCTAAAATCACTTGAATTCCTAAGTTTCCAGCTTATCTTTTAACAATATTTTGGCCTTTCCGGACTAAAAGATTATGAAGAACCAAAACAGAGTGAGATTAACCTTTGCTTCTGGTGCTGTCATGACATTTTCACTAGCAAAAGGAACACCACTGACCCAAACCGAAACAAATGGGCCATCCAGTGATCTCCACTCATGATCAGTTTCATCAATTGAAGGGCCTGCGTAAGCACATGTTTCGTCATTAAAATCATTTGATCTGTCCTCTTGTACACCAGTGCTAGCCCCATTTGATTTGCAACTGCTAATTTGCTCTACAAGATCACCAAGTCCTTCGTATCCTGGGGCTGGAACAAAAAGAACACGCCCATTGTACCGCCGCAAGCTCACCACACGGAGAAGGGACTGAAATAAAGTCAGAGCATAGAATGAATTGCTAAGTATCCAGAAGGGGCTGAATAAGCGAATACAAGGACACTACAACAATCTTTGCATTATACTTTAGACAGCCTCTAAATATGCTCGATGAAGTACTAAAGCTCACGATGACATTTTTTTAGACATCAAGGCATATTTTTGTGTTCAAAAGTACACAACATTTTTCAAAGCAAAATAATGCATGCATAAACATGCATTCCATTTAAAGAACATGCTCCACGATGGGAACGTCATAAACAAATGTATCTGTTGATTGTTATTATATCATCAGCACACTGATGCAAGCCTAACCATTATGATCATCTAATTTTGGAAGCACATTACAGCATTGTGCACATGACTGACCATGAGGACCACATAAATAAAGGAGAGGAAAGAGAGAGGAGAGAAAGCATATGGATATAATTGAGTGTTTGATAGAGTTATGGTAGAATGCATACATAGAAGTCAAGACGAGCACTGCCCATCCACCTGTACTTCTCTGACTCAATATCGATATCAGCTACCAGACCTGCAGTTCATAAATCGTTTTCTCTTAGTGCCCCAGAAATAGATAGTGGGAGAACAAGCTCTGAGAGTGACAGTCAGTGTTATGGGGGTATAGACGTGTAGTTTAAGAGAGAAAAAAGCTTAGCATCAAGCTAATACACGGCATACCCCAAGTAAGCATCAAGACACTAAAAAACCTTGTCTTTCCCTGCACAACAGAGGTAACATCAAGGGGACGCTTGTGACCTGTGCAACAGAAGCTGCCATCAGTACTTTATTAACACAGAAAATGGAAATATTTTGAGAGGATTTACAATATGGAAACACAGATGACTATTTACGTTAACCGTGGGGATTTGGGGGGGGGGGGTAGAGACTTGCCTCTGATAATTGCAAGCACAGCGTTATAAACGGAGAAGGATTCACCAGCAAAATGCACAAGTGATTGCACCATTCCATTTCCGGTACCTATGGTATTTGTAATGGGTGAAAACTCTACCCAGAGAACTTATAGTATTGAGCTGTAAAGAAGCTACACAAGGCTGAACAAAATAAATAAGAAATCACAAGCTACTCTCTAGTGTAACACAACTTTATGATGTTCTGCAGTGATCAGAAAGAACAAACCTAAGGCATATTACAGATCTCCTAGGTGTAACTTTGCATCACTACAATAAAGAATAGCATTGTGAATTGTGATCACATATTCAAACACCTGCCGGGATGATGCCTAATGGTATTTTTATTGCTGTGTTCCAGTCCTCTCTTTGCAGCAGACCATTAACCACCTAAAAACCCAAAATAAAATAATTAAATGCAAGTAAGAAGAATAAAGGAAATTCACCCTTCTCTAAAAATATCTGAGGATAAAGAAGACTACTGCCTATAATTCGCATCAGGTTTTTGTACGAATCATCTTTTTTTGCTAACCTCTACAAGTACACCATCTCCACTGACGCAAACAATTCCATCATATTTCCTAAGATCCAGTGAATGAGCAATTTCTTGAGCGTGAAGCCGATGCTTGGTTTCTGAACACAATTCATAATTCAGAAACTTTGTATACAGAGAAACTGGGTGTCACACTTAGATTACCAAAATAGGAAGATTTTGAACAGATATCACAACCTTGCATGGTGTAAAGGATGCCAGCAGCTTCAATGAGAGGTAGGACCTCAGTCTGGAAAATCTTCCGCCCACCTCTCTTTCCACCATAAGGGTTAACTATGATGAACAATCTCTTTGGCCGACCTATTCAACAGCATATCACGGTAGAATAAGATAGATGTCAAGAATAATTAGAAGTCCAGCATGTCAAGAATAATTAGAAGTCCAGCTTTAGTTGCAGTGTCAATACCCTAAATAGTTGTCTCCATATGCATGAAGAAGAACAAATTAGAGATGACACGTTCTTTTTCCTTTTTTTCCTAAAAAAACACTAATAGAGGGGCTCTGGAAATTTATGGAGGATGTCCAGGATAGGTTCAGGGAAAAAAGAATTTACTACCAGAAGGAAATCAACAACTGGAGCAAACATGACAAACCAAAGAAACTAACTTTTAGGAGAGTTAGGACCTTCTGTCTAAGTTCAACATCTTCTTTGATGCAACAGAACACCTCCTGAAGACCTGGATGGACTACCTAGTGCTGACAAAAAGGGCTACATTTCACTCCTTCACAAATTCCAACAGGTGTATATAATCACTCCAACCATGCGGGATTCCTATTATCTAAAAAAAGGGGGGCAAATTCTATTCCTTCTTCCTTGGTATTATTTGCATTACAAATTACCAACAGACTGTTATTCTGGATTTTGGGACATATGAATGTTGCCAGGAAATAACAGCCTGCCAACCGTGGCAAGCGAAGAATTCAATCCAACTTTGCCAGCAAAAAACCCAATTCCAAAGAGAGGGTCATTGTCTCTGCTTCAAGTATGCATAAGACACGGTTGGTGTGAGTGCAGAAGAACAATGCTTAGAGATAGGATAGAATTACATTGTGTGCGTGAGAGCAGTAGAAGCAAAATGCTTGAAGTCCTATAACAATCCTATAATAAACTAATGAGTGGAAAAGTGAAAACATAAAAACCACCTTCATTTTTTTATTGAAGTCTAATGAAATACACAAGGGTGACATTTAATAGCAATAGCGACACTGAGAAGGACATTTGACCAACACATGAAAATCAATGAAGTATCCAAATGATCATTACAAAAAATATCTTCTCCTACATTAATCAGCAGCAGATGAAAAGAGCTCATCAGGATATCAGATGGTATGATTCTTGGACCTGGCTGAAATTTCAAGTTCAAACACCACAATCTTTGTTATGCCACCAGGAGCTGGTCCATTTGATTCAAAATATATTTAAAAAAAACAAAAACTCATACACAATTTAAACTATCTAGTAAAAGTTGATCTATGGTCAGTGAAACTTGAAGAAACAATGGGGTAAAAAGAACTCCCTATTGGAAGTATTGTACGCTATCCGTACATATAAAGTAGTACTGTACAATTGACGATTTGGACAAATTTGTGCAACAGAGCTGACAGGCCACGTTACAACAGCACGGACACCAAGAAATATCCAGAGAGATGCAGTACTGTACATCCCTCCCGTCGATTGTAAAAACTCATTACATTAAGTTTTTGTTTATGAAGGTGATCAACTAAACAAAGTGAATAATCGATATTTGGGGGTTCTTTCCCCACTACGTTACTCCGAGTCTCCGACTGAGTCAACGCAACCACCGCCCAATTGATCAAAGATCAATCCCAATAAAAAAGGCGACACTTCGTGACCAAATCACACCATGAATCAAACAATAACCTAAACAAGCTTAAAGATCATCGAACAGTAGACATTTCTGTTACTAAGAACAAATCAAGAGCAGATGATTACCGAGTTACTACTACTACTAGTGATTAATCAGTGAATTTACCAAGCGAGGCGAGGCGATCTCTCATGGCGTCCCCCCACGCCGCGGCGGCCTCCTCGCTCTCCATCTCCACCACCACCTCCCTCTCCCTCTCCCTCTCCCTCCTCCTCTCCCCGCCCCCGCACGTCGCCGGCCGCGCCGCCGCCGCCGCCGCGTCGTCGCCCCTCGCGAAGGTCGCGACCCTGAGCGCCCTCCCGTCCACCCGGACCCCGAGCACCTCGGACTCCAGCTCCAGCCTCCCCGCCTCCCCTCCTCCCCCGCCGCCTCCCGTGGGGCGCCACGCCAGCTCCCCGCCGGAGAGCGTGGCCTCCGCCGCGGACCCCCCGACCCGCACCGGCTCCGACAGGGCCTTCGCCCCCGCCTGGGCCTTGGACTGCTCCTCCGCCATGGATGGAGGAGGAAGGAAGGAAGCTAAGCTGCCTCCGGTGGTGAGGTGAGTTGAGCGAGAGTCGGCGAAGGTTTTTTTGTGTTTGTTTGTGTTGGGGAGGAGGAAGACGAAGGCGACGTGGTGAAGTGATGAGGTGTGTGTGTGTGGGCTACTACTATAAAAATGGCGCCTTCCAGCTAGTGGGGTAGTATATCCGTGTTGGGGGGGGGGGGGGGGTGTATTTATACGTGTGTGACGTATGTAAACACTGGAGTATATAGTGTACCGTATACGGTATACCCCTGGTGTACCGTACAGTAAACGATAACGATGTCGACTTTTGAACACTTGTCTGACTATTCCGTCTTATTTAAAAGTTTTGTATCAATATATAAAATATAAATCATGGTTTAAGTACTTTTTAAGTGATAAAATAACACACAGCAAAATAAGTTATGATTATGTAAATTTTTTAAATAAGATAAATGATCAAATATGTGATAAATCGTTAACGGTGTTATCTATTTAAAAAAATGAGGTAGTAGATTTCTGTATTGTTGGAGGCCTTTTTTGTTTTTTTTTTGGAGGTCCTTGTATTTTGGGGGATTTGTGTGGGGATGGATGGATATATTGACGTTGCCGTGATGCCGTCCATCTTATCATAGGCTTCTAGAAGGAGTAAGCTTTTTTTCTTTTCCTCTTGGAATTGGAACTTCGCTTCTAGAAGTATGGAGTGGTACTTTACCTTCTAGTACTACTACTAGGTGCAGTGGTTCTATGCACGTGGGCCGTGGCAATTCTTCATGTGGACACCTTCAACAGTGCTTGTGTTTGAAAATTGATTTCTCAGCTTGAAAAAAATGTGAAGGGCACCAGCGCACCACCAAATTAGAGTAGGGCCAAGAAAAAAAAACAGTTTTTAGGTCATGTTTGAAAAAAGAAATGAAAACATGATAACAAAAAACACATTTTTTTTAAGAATGGAATATATATTTCTTGTTTTTCTCAACAAGCTACAACCAATTGTTATATCAAATCATCAAAAGCATTCACGATGTAATGAGACCAAAAACACACCAAGTTAACATAAAACAAACACAAACTAATAAGCAACAACACAAAATAAAAGACCCACAATTATTAAATCCGAGAATGAAAATACATGAATATGATATAGTGTAAAGTTGAAAACTAAGGAATTCAAAAGACGGGAAGATGCAATTTAGGCAGTTTAAATCACGTCCCCTTATGCAAGCATGAAGCAAAGGATATTTTCCTTCGGATCAAAGTAGATGTTTTATTTCCTATGAATGGAGAAATTGCTACTTTTCCGAAGGAATCCAACAAACCTATTCCTTTCTTCCAAACAAGCTCATAAGAAACAATTCCAAAGGATTGCAAACCTCCGAAAATCATTTAAAACCTATGTTCCTCAACTTAGTTTTTTAAGGATATGAAGGTAGAGAAAGATAAATAACACTAAAGGTTCTAATATTTGCCCTAATTTTCTTTAAAAAAAATCTGATTGCTCAACTTAGCTTTTATGTCAGCTTTGGTTTCATATAATGAAACCCTCACATTAATGAAAGGTTAATGTCTCTAAAGGAGAATACGGAGGAAATAGCCATGCTGAACAAGAATGCTCCTTCAGAGCACCTCCTTCATGGGACATCGACGCTAAGCCTCTTCCTTAGTACAAAATCTTTTTATATATAATTTGATTGGTCCATAAAGTAGGAATTATATTCATCGCGGGTTTTATTAGAATTGGATAGGAGAATGATCATCGTAAATGCACTAGTGAAGCTAACAATAGGTTGTCGTGAGCAATTGCTTAAGCGCAGCAGCACACAACACATGAGGTGGAAATGCCATGTCGTTGGTAACGAACTAGGTAGGTGATTTTTTTTTTAAGTGGTTTCATCTGATCTTTAAAAAAAATTCTAGAATTGTTATTGACAGAGGAATCATCAGCACATCAAGCATAACAGATTCGTACAATTCTAGTAATGTGTCATAGTGAATTTCATCTGGCTTAAATTTTCTAGATCCGTCACTGAAATGGGAGTGGGGGGTCCATCCGCAATCATACAGGACAGACGTACTGCTTGCCAACCACACGAGGTAAGACGAGACCAATGTGTGCCGATAATTGAGAGAGGAGTGACACAAGGGAACAAAGGCGGATAAATGAGAGAGGAGTGGAGGGAGAGAGGGGCTGTAACCTCTACTCACTATAACAAGCTTAATTTGCAGTGTTCGTCTGCTTGAGACTTTGAGCCCATCCACAGTATGACATGTTCTTGGACGAGTGGACACAATTCACAGTGACTTACCAGAAGAAGTCACCGTGATGCGAAGATGGATCAACCATGGACGCTACACACGTCGGCTAACCTCGTGCAAATCGCGTAGATCAAACCGGCCAGACACATTGATTACGCACACGACGGGCAATTAAATAGTCGCGCAAAGTTGTTGTTTCGTGCCTGGAAGGTGGTTAAAAGGTGAACTAGCTAGGCATCTAGCACTAGTTGTTTATTGTCATGGATATAAAAAAAACACATGTTCTTATGCTTCTTTTTTTTCAAGTTGTACCTATATAAACAAGCCCATCGTTTCACCTATATTTATCCATACTGTTATTAATAAACCAACAAATAATAATTTATATATACATGTCACTATTGTAAAAAAAACTACGATGGAAAAAGTATGCCATAAAATCAACTTTAAACTTAAGTTTTAAAATTTAAATTTTGACTTGTATAAGCATAAGCTCCAATGAATTAGACTCAACTATCACGGTGTCACCGTCGGATCAATCCCTTCCCAGAAAACGAATGAATGAAGGCGAAACATGAGTGCTAAGGAAAAGGAGTCGTTTTCGTTCATAGCCTCACAGGAACACATAGGTATATCCAGGGTTCAATCTTTTGTTTTCGTCGATACGAGGGTACTGATATACCAAAAATTTTGAACAAAATATTGCTAAATTAATTTTTTTTTGGCTAAAATAGTATCCATATTTGTTTTTTTTTTGGGGGGGGGGGGGGTGAGGGTTGATTTTGAACCCTGGGTATATCTATGATCTATCCATCGTAGCTCTCACGATGCAAACGGGGTAGCCTCATCTTCGCTGTCGACGTCGCCATTGGGGCATCCAGAAGAATTCACTCACACGGTGACAATTGACAAAGCTTCTCCTTGTTACCATTTGGTGATGCTTCAGTTTTTGCACTCAAATGGTTGACCTCTGCACTTGTTTTGTTTGTAAAATGAGCCCACCCAATAGCCAGAATGAGATGCCATATTACACTCTACGTTTTAAAATATAGGATGCAATTTTGTTTTATTAGAACAAGTGTGACTAACGATTATTTTAGTAGGATATAATATTTATAACACAAAATTAAGTTTATTAGATTCATATAGAAAGGCACACTTACTTATAATACTAAGAGCTTAGCGTGTGTGTCTCAGGGGCATGAAGGCTTTTCTATTGCCGTATTGCGTAAGAACTGAAACTGGAAAGGTGCTACAGATCAGGTAGATGGATTCTCCACACTTCATTTTCTCAACCAATCCAGCAAGTTGGCAGCCAACTATCCAAATCAATCAGATTAGTGTAGTATATAGTAATATAATATAGGCAAATGACGTTATCCATAGCGACAACATACCACCAAAGTCCAGATAAGGCGGAGAGGAGTATATGCCATCATCTAAAATACCTCATACTTCAAGGAAAACTCTTTGGTTTGTAAGTCAAAGGGAGAAGGAACAACAACAAAGGAAGAAAGAAAAACAAAAAGGAACAATTGGATCCTATTATTTCTTTTGCGACATGCCAGTTCAGACTTGAGATACACTATTTTCTCCACTGCATATGAACTAGCAAAAAAACAGACAAATTGTTGGAAACATGTAAAGTAGCTTGTCAACAAGAAGAGTATATTGTACACCCAATTAAGTTTTCTTTTTCCTATCTTGCTCCATGGAAATTATGTACACCACAGACCATTTCCCAGTTTCAGAGGATTTTCTGAATAGTTTGGTAATACCAAGTTTGTCTCACAGTATGTAGGGCTCAAAATGAACACACATTAATGCTGAAAATAGTATAGAGGGGAACAGAATATTTGCTATTATACGACAAAATGTAGAGTGGGTTGGTTGCTATTGGATGATCAATATCAAAGAACGTGATAGTACAAAACCAACCAATCCTACTATTCTACTATTACCACACATCACAATATTTGTAGGCAAAGCTTGTATTATAAAACACATAGATTTGGTTGCTCTGAAGGATGGAGATATATAGGAACACAAAATTGGGTTAAACCCACTGAACCTTTAGTCATACAGAGACTTAGCAGATTGGACCCTTGACTTCTTGCTTTTGGCTTTCAGGACCTTCTCCTCAGCCTTTTCATTTTTTGAAATGGCCCTGGCAACAGCTTTCATTTTCCTCACGTTTTGAGACCTTTTAATTTGCACTCCCTTTTTAATTTTCCTGGTTAAAGTAAAAAAAGGCAGCTATAATTAAAAAGCATTCAACATGCACTAAGAATATATATCCACCAAGAAAAAGTGCACAATCAAGACAGCAAACTCACACAAGTAAAGATATATGCATATTTAACTCCATCTCTATGGAACTTTTATTAACTCACTTTAAGCGGAATCTTAGAAAACTTTAACAGGAAGTCTTGAGAGGGGATAGGAGAAGGAAGAATAACTTCACCAAACTCCATCGTGATGCCCCAAAGAATGGAGAATGATTGAATTAGAAAAAGATCCACACTGTCAAAACTGAACTATAACTTTCTCAAATATCATGGTAACTTGGATGTGTTATGACGTTAATTGCTTGAAATTTTTAATACATTAATATGAAAGGCCAACAGCATGTTTTGAATCATCCTGGAGCAGTAGAACAGAAAATTATCTACAATAACACACAAGCTGCTTTCATATCTAACAAAAATATTCCTAAACACATTTTTCTAGGCAACTAGGGGTCTCGGGCATTCCTGAGCCTAGGATGTTGCAATATATAGTTACTAAAGTTCTTTAACAACTCAAGTTAAAATCTGTTGCGAATCAAAAATATTACTAATAGTTAGCCTGTCCAAATATAATAAAACAAAATTGGAGTTCAAAATAGACCAGAATACTAAACGCTGTCCTAATATAGTCCATTAGTGAAATGTCTGTTTTTTTCCCAATTAGTTGACAGATTTATGCTAATAGCAAATGAACAGCCAAAAATGTAAACAGACATACATAATGAATAATTCTTCCTTCCTTTTTTGCGAAACCATACCGTTAGCATGCAGCTAGGCCCAAGAGATAATAGTCAATAACCAGTGTCAGCATCTAGTACTGTTTAGCATTCATACCATCGGCAACTTGACTTTTCTTCTCAATTTTACAGCAGCTTTTACTTCAACCCATTTATCCCAGAAAAGATGACACGTCTTGGGCAATGCTTGTCTACTGTGCCAAATTATTACCCAATTATCAAGTACTAGTATGTTTGCCATGTGGTTGGAAGTGATGGTGACTAGCACTTAGAGGAGATAGGATCAACCTAGTTACCTGGACACAAAGAACTGAGCTGTTTGTTTTGGGTCTAAGCGTTTCAGGACAGGTATGTCTTCTGTTTTTCTGGAAAAGGATAAACAATATATCCCATTGTTCTAAACAAATCACAGAAAAGATATCGAAACTTCATTTGACTTGGACAACTTAAAATATTGTACGTTCATAGAAGGCCATGACATTGTGAACAATCAAACCAGATGGAAGCCAACTGACAGCAATGGATGCAACGCCTTATACTAACATATTCCATATGTAAGGAAGCCAGTTTTCAACAAAGTCAGAATATTCAGTTTGAAAAATCTGCTTCAACAAAGTCAGAATATTCAGTTTGAAAAATCCTCAACCCTCACAGAAATATTATCATCCAATCCAAGCATGGACAAGATGTAGTCATTTCCAATTTCCTACTCAGTCAGAAAGGTATTAGTGCATTAAATATTTGCATGCCAAAAATTATTCATGGACTACATGATTCCACATAAACACAGAGTGAAAGAGGTAGTTCTTGCATATATCCACCGTACCACTATTTTCTTCTAATTAATTGTGCCATCGGCACATTATTTAAAGAGATAGTCTGATAAACTGAAGTACAGCCCTTTAAGTCGAAGTTCCTCACCCCTCAAGCCAACAAAATCGAACTAAGGACCACAATAACCCTCATTGGTGTTCTAATTCGAATTCTAGCAGTTTAATTATTGAGATAACCTCGAAAATTAGTTAGTCCCATCCATGGAGACTGGACAAAGCAACGTACATCTGCAATAACCAAACGAGCAAAAAAAAAAGGAGGAAAAATATAAACTGCTGGGAATCGCTTTGCTCACTTGTTAATCGAAGTGAGCGCAACCGATACTGAAGACGTCTGCTTCCCCTCCGACGTATCCATGGCTGCAATCACAAGGAAAGATAAGTGGGACACCCAGAAACCACTGAAAACTCTAGGAAAAGGAAGAAACGGAAGGGCAAGATTACGTTCTGGTGCGCCCACGGCGGTGGAGGCCGCCGGGGCGCCCTCGGAGGTGTCCATGGCAGCGACCCCGCCGCCGCCGCACTTCTTGCTCTTCTTGTTCCGGTTCTTCGCCATGGCTAGTCCTAGGGTTCGGAGGCTTCGGCTCGGTGGTGGTCGTCTCCGATGTGAAGCGCTGAATTGTAATTAACGGAGATGCAGGTACAGGCCCAGTATGGCCTTTTCGTAATTAAGTCCCAATTTACGGCCCAGTAAGCCTAAGACCCAAGTTCCAGTCCAATTGTCCTTAGGGCCAATTTACCGGCCTAGTAGGCCAATGGCTCAATTCCAGCCCAGTAGACCTAAGGCTTAATATCCAGCCCGTTAGTACTAAGGTCCAATTTCTGGTCCAATAGTCTAAGGTCCAATTTTCGGACCAATTTCTGGATATTAAGGCCCATAGTCTGGTAATATATGGAATTCAGGCGTGGGCTTTGTTGAGGAGAGCATTATTCCTTTTCTTTTTGCTGATGTTGCCATTTGTTTTCTGTTGGGAGTGGCTATATAACACTCGATAGTTTTTCTATGGAAAACTTTTAAATATAACTATAGTTTAATCGGGGTATAACTATATTGTAATTGTACTATAAATGTGTAATAACTTATATATAACTATTGTATAAAAAAAAAACTTGCAGGACTGGTTGGATAGCTGTGCATGCTTATGTGCGTGAGTTCACATGGTTGTCCCTGCGGCCCTACCTCAAGCGCACGGTGTCAAAATTTTCATCCTAGTTTTTGCATGAATCTCAACGATGATCTAAGGGTCATAAAGTGAAAGTATTTTTTTTTAAGAAAAACCGGCGACAACAACTTTTTAGAAGAACTGATACCGAACATTTTATTTCCCTCCTCTCCTAGTAAAGACCATCCCTCCATTATTGTGTAGTAGTATTTGCCTGTCCACAAGACCACAAGTACCCAATTTCCCTGAAGCCACGGTACATCTTCCTTTTTTTTCATGGCTACCAAATTCCACACGACCAATCGGTACAATCGTCCAAACTAACACCTGAAAATAGTCAAATATGATGGCTATACCGCTGCCACGTCGAATCCACGTCACAGTAACCAGAAAACGGTATATATATATATATTCTGGATTATTTTCTTCCCAATACGTGGCATCTACGGTCTACCACGAATTCTCGTCAGACTCTTCTCCAGCGAAGCAGAGGCTGCAGCCGAATACGAGCCACCGCATCGCCATCAGGCGTACAAACACGGCGCAGCTGAACCAGTAGAACGTGTATCGCTGTGTTTGCCTCCACTTGGTGTGACCTTGTGCGGATTTTTTCAGGTTCAGGAAAAAACGGACGCTGCCGGCTGCCGCATATCATACTGGCTCCAAATTGACGATGAAAAATACTAGCACCAGTAGGATTTTCTCGTCTTTTTTTGTGTGTGTGTGGCCTAGCTAGTGCTCTGCTCTTCCACTACCCAAATACTCGTAGCACTAGCATTAGCTGGAAGCTGCAGGCAGCTGTGACCTGAGTTCAGGGCCTATTTGGTATAGCTCCAACTCCTAAATTTAACTTCAGGAGTTGAGTCTGAAGTGGAGTTGTGGAGCTGCCTAAACCCAGCTCCACAACTCTAGTTCATTTTGTGAGAGAGCTCCACTCCCAGTTTTGGTGGAGCTGAAACTGTTTGGCTGAGCTCCAGCTCCAGGAGGGGTGGAGCTGGAGCTGGAGCTGTGCCAAACAGGCCCTTAAGGGACACCACAATGGTATCTGTCTATTCCATCTTAATTCTATACTAATCTTGCATTTATAACTAATTACTTTCTAAATAATAAAGTTATAGGCAATTAATGGTGTAAGTACTCGTTCTAAAGATAATAAAGCCATGAGTAACAAGGCAACAATCAATTGATGAGGGTTACGCTTTCGATTAAACAGGCTTAAAATTCGATGTTAGCGTTTGTATTTATAGATAATTATATTTTATAGGTAAAGTTGTAGGCAATGTGTGTTTGGTTGTTGGGCACACTTTATCATAACTAAGATTAGACAAGTTATAGCAGACACAAAAGTGTGGGTGACAATACAAATTGCTAGCTATAAAGTGTGATAAGTTGATAGGAATATTGAGTTTATGATATGTGTGACTGTTATTGAAAAAAAATGATAAGTCACAACAGTAAACCAAACACATAACTAATAACCTGTGATAGTTAATGTGATAAAGCGTGGATATGAACCAAACACGCTAGTAACAATGAGTAGTAGCAAGGCAACAACCGATCGTCGATGGGCGTCGCTTTCGACCTGACAGAGCCACCGGGCTTGGGACGGATTGGTGAAGCTCACCAACCAACCTGCCTGCACGCAGAGGCCATAGATCAGGATGGATCAGAAGAACTCCTCGCTTCACCGGCGTCGTCGTCGTGGCCACTGACCGCGACAAACGCAACGAGACGGCGAAGCGAAGCAAAGCATGCTGATGAGCCCAAGTGGCGACGACGCCCGCCCGAATGCAGACGCGGATGGCGTAATAAAAAGGGCCCTGGAAACACGCACGCAGCGGACGGCAGGACGCTCGCTCTTGATGGGGATATTTGCCGTCGTTTTCGGGGCTGTTTCATCCGGTTATCTTCTGCTTACGGAACAGGCGGTTAATTGATTGGGAAAAGAAAAGGTTACCATGCATAGGGTCGTTGTTGCTCGTTGGTAGAAGAACGGCAGTGGAAGGAAACTGGTAGTGTGGCTACTGTATTAGTAATTGTTAAAAAAATGTTTTCTCTCTCTCAGAAATAACACCTACCATATTCAAAAAATTATGTACTCCATTCATCCTAAAATATAAGCATTTTAAAAATAGTGTCAAGTCAAACATTTTTTACTTTAACTATTAATAGAAATAATAAAAAGATCAATCGTGTAAAATTGATGTTACTAGATTTAACATCAAACTAACTATCATAATATGCAACTATTTTCATTTAAAATATTTTACTTTTATTGTTGGTAAAAGTAATATATCGAAGACTGTGTCGAAATCTAAAAATACATATATTTTGGGACGGAAGGAATAGTATAAACTACGTATATGTAGTGGAAACCGAAAAACTATTGTATGATGTAAATCTCATACGTCTATTTTTTTTCATCCAGGTTATCACTACATATGTGATTTCTACTTCATATTTTCTCATGAAGTTTTCCGATATTTTGCATGAGACCAAACCTATCTTGGTACAATTTGGATGATCAGGTGGAACAATACTGTTTTTCAGGGAGGAAATAACAGCATTTTTCAATGGAGGAAAAACAAAACACCAACATATATACTACTCGCACCGTCTCGAAATATAAACATTTTGAAAGTTTTACATGGACATTAAGAAAGTAAGTGAAATTGAATGAGAAATGATAATGACTGGTTTGAATGAGAAAGTATATGAAGAAATTAGATATGTTTGTATTGTACAATAAATTTTGAGTGCTATAATATCTTATATTTCGGGGTGGAGAGAATAGAAACTACTGAGTAGTGGTGATCGTTGAGATGTCGCTCATAATACTATGTCATTGCCCTACATGGGACATCAAGCGTGTACCTGAGAGTAAATAAGTTGTAGTTGCATACAAAACACACGCATGCTGAGTAAGTGACACAGTGATATGTGGATGCATGCCATGTGGCCGACATTGATTTTTTCCGATCGATGGATCGATCCAGCCGGCGTCTAGCTATTGTATTGTGCTGAGGATCTGAGCTCAGGCGGATGTACCTGCCCTTTCTTATGTATGGCCTACGGGGTTGATGTTCTTTCACGCTCAATTAAAAAAAAGGAAAGTGTTTTCTCCTGCCATTTCACTCAATTATGGTGTTGATGTATCATGTAATGAGACCCTATTGCTGATAAGTTTGACAGCTATCGTGGTACAGTAAAGTCCTGTTTTTTGGATGAGGATAATAGGTATGAGACATGCATCTATAATGGCATTGATACCAATATATATATGAGGATAATAGCTATAAGTCCTGTTAAGTACCTTCATTTTCTTTAAAATATGTGTAGTTTTTTCTTTGAAGAACATAGAAGCCCATCTCAAAAAATATATGTAAGGCTCATATTTGTTTTCCAACTCCATCACTACCCTTAAGCACCTACCACATTTGAGCATTGAAGATATCTGCACAAATTCTGCCACAATAACGCATCTCTTTTCAATTAATAGGTGAATCAACACATACTATGTGCAAAATCCTCCATTTGAAGGCAAGGAAGAGTTGGCAACCCAATTAACATTGCAATGATGGTTAGTGCTAGAACTGAACTGCAGTACAAGCCAGGAGCGTACATCCTACAGATACTCCTGGTCCCAAAGAATCAAGGTAGGAGTAAGTAGTATTCTCCATTCAATGTGCAGGATTAGTTTGCATTGGATGCATGGTTGGTTGGCTGTCTCCTGACACCGCCGTCCCAGTGCACCCTCACTTGCAAGCAAGGCCTGCAATCATGGGTCACCCCCCATGATGCCTGACCAAGCTTTGCTACACCTAATCATCGCCTTAAGACCAGCAAAAGAAAAGCTAATTGCCCATACATTGTGCAGTGCAGCACTGCAGCAGTGTATGTGCTCCAAAGAGTACTTGATGCAGAGGAAAAAACCTCATCATTCTGTGGCCACTTGTGTGGATGGATGGATGATGAGTTGATAATGAAGCAGGAAATCCTGCATTGTGTTGCTGATATTGCTAATTGCTAGTGTGGGCCTTCAGATTTTCTTATGTTTTGTGGAGTTCAGTTCCCTGTATTAAATTGCAGAAAGGCCTACGAGGAATAAACTTATTGAAAAGGTATATGGTACTACTAAATTAATTCCATGATCTGATCATGTCACTAGCCGTTTGCCTGTCATAAAAAAACAGCATCACTACAGTAGCTAGGATGTTGATACAGCTCTATCATTTGGGATTATCCTACACCAAAAATGAGATAATACTATACTCTAACAACCTAACACTTGAGCAGGAGTGAATAGAAATCAATACTCCTAGATGACAATGCAACTTTTCCGAGTACTAAACCACACCACTAAGGTCTGGTTTAGTTCCCAATTTTTTATTTAAATTTTTAACTTTTTTATCGTATCAAAACTTTCCTACACACACAAACTTTCAATTTCTCCGTCACATCGTTTCGATTTCAATCAAACTTTTAATTTTGGCGCGAATAAACACACCCTGAAAATACATGTCGGAAATAGTACTCGTAACTGAACTGTGAAATCTAACCTGAAGCCTCTGCAAGAGACTACGGCAACATCTCGTGTGCCTCGAGATCTGAGACAAAAGAATTCGCAAGCGAGGTCGATGGAATCATAGGAAGCTGGACTGGATGTTGGCGCCGGTCGCAGCAGCGGCCAGGAGATCTGCGCTCGTGTGTTTCCCCGTCACTGAGCAGCCCAAGTCGAAAGCTCCTGCATGCAGCTGCTGCTGCTGCACCCACCATCACCACGGGAAAGATAAGGTGGTGTTTGATTGGAGGGATTAAAGTGAAGATAAACTTTAGTCCCTCTCACAAAAACATATCCCTCTCACAAAAACATAAGTCCATATCATATGGACTTATAATTTTGTGAGAGGGACTAAATTTAGTCCCTAGTTTTCAAACACCCCCTAAAGCAGCAGCACGCAATTACCACAGAGGTTATCACCAACACAAAAAGATAGCAAAGCAAAGCGTACCAAAACAAAAGCCTGATCACCTCCTCTTACCATACCAAGAATAATACATGTAGGGATATTTAGTTACCGGCCACATTTAGTTTCCGTCCTTTTCTCACGAAGACGAAGATTTTATCTCGGTTTTCGTTAACACGTTTTTCAAACAATTAAACGACGTGTTTTGTATGAAAACTTTCTAAATGAAAGTTGCTTTAGAATATCAAATATATTCATTTCAAGTTTGTAATAATTAAAATTCAATTAACTTGAGCTAATAACTTTCTTGGTTTGCGTGTCCGAATTTACTCTGAATCTTTATAAGATTGGAACACAGCCTTAGATATCTTGTCGCACGGTTTGTCGCGTCTAAAATTAGATAAGTTTGAGTAACTTGGCAATTATTTAGTTGTTATTATAGTTATGATAAAATTCTCTTCCAACAAATTAGACCCCACACGTAAATGACTCAGAAAATTGTGGTATGATTTTTTTAGATGTGGCAAATAATATATTTCATTTTAGTTTTCTTGAAATAAATACTATCCTCATTTCATATTATAAGTCGCTTTGAATTTTTTTCTAGTCAAACTTCTTTAAATTTGATTAAGTTTATAGAAAAAATTAGCAACATCTATCGCACCAAACTAGTTTTTATCAAAACTAACATTTAACATATTTTGATAATATGTTTGTTTTATGTTAATAATATTTTTATATTTTTCTATAAACTTGATCACACTTTTTAAAATTTGAATAGGAAAAAAAATCAAAGCGATATATGATTAAATATAAAACGAATGTTTTATTTTAGTCAAGGGTGACAACTTTTTTATATAGTTGTAGGAGTAGCTTTCAACTAAACAACCTCATTGTTTGGTCGCCTTACATCGATCATTACTTCAGCCTTGTTTGGGAGACCTTAAGATTTCAAGAAGTAGACGGTGAGAAGTTAGATGGTGAGAATCTGAATAAGCTGAGAAACTCAGTTTCTAGATTTTAGTTTATTTTCTAGATTATATATATTTTCTTAGAATCCGATTAAAAATCTGAGCCGTTAGAACTTAGAACCTCCCTCAAATATGACCTTCTTTCCGGATGGCATGAACGATGTTACCACGGGCCCACTTTGCAGTGACCGTTGCGAGGCGTCTGTACGTGTAGTATGGGTCTGGGTGCTTTTTGGATGGAATTCTGTACCCTGACGAACGCCATGTTCTTCTGCTTCGACCTCCTGGCCACCTGAAGAATTGTTATTTTTTTCTCCAGAAACGAGCTGGCACTCTGGCAGCTGGTGCCATGCCACGAGGGTAGCGTTGACATTTCCTTGACAGTAAATAGTAAAATAAAATTAATGTACTGGCAATGACAGGGATTTCGTGTTTACTGCAAAGGATGTTTGGTTTCCGTTCGTTTGGTATCTAGAGACTTTTTTTTATAAAAAAATTACTGTGTGTAATTAATTCTAGTCCTTGATGACTGGCGTAATCTTGCTCACTTTTTTTTGGTCTTTTGCGTTGGAGATAAGCTGTGGAGTGCTTAGCTGTAATTACCGTACTGTAATAAATCTTGGACTTTTGATGACACGTCCTTGACGGCCATGGAATTTTGTTCAACGCAGTAGCCACATATTTCTCCATGAAGGTTTGGTACAGTTTAAGTAGTATTATGTCCGTTCAGAAGTTTTGCAGGGCATTATTCTGGGCTAAAAATGAATTCAGGCTCAGGTCGGAGTGGCCTGGATTTTCAGACAAAAAGCGGTTCATAAAAATTGCTGTTTTATCGTATGAAAAATCTGCACGGATCTCAGAGCAAATGGGAGTTGACATAAATACATAATGGAACATAGTCCACAGAAACCTTCATGGAAGGATGTTAAAGCAATAATTAATGATTAACCATTTTCTAATCTAGTACTTAATCCACTAATGGGCACACTTATTCAGGTTCATTGAAATGGGCAAATCTAAAGAAAATATCTACTTCCTATTGACTATTGTCATTAAACATTACTTCTTTAGGAGAACTTATGAATTTATGATGCCCTGATTGATCTTCCCATTGACAATGACACAAAAAATGCATACAATGAAGACCTGCCAAACAGAAGCTTCCATTAATTAAATCCACTAATCCGTTTACTTATATTTCTCTAGATAATAAACTAGTTTAGGATTTTTTTAGATAAAACTAGATTAGTATTTAGGAATAGGCAAAGCTCCCTTTTTTTAAGGAGCACAATAATAAAAGTCTAAAAACAAAGTAGGGCTTGGTGCGTGAGCACTAATTTCCAGGGGTAGTTTGGTAATTCCACCGGCCTCAACTGAAGTCGTGGAGGGGAAGAGCGCCAGCCGCTCGCATCCAACGGTCCAAACCGAAATCCCCAATCAGCCACCACCATCCACACTACCCTCCATCTTTCACAAAATTAACGAGAATGCCACTGCCCAACCCAACCGTAATACGAGGGGCACGCGAGGGCATAATCGTCATTTCGGTTTGCTTTGTCCTAATGTTTTCCACTGCCTAAGTAACGGATCAAGGCGGAAGGGGGAAAAAGACAGAGAAATGTGGGGGGTTGGGGAGGTTTGAATTGTGAGGTTGAAGCAAAAGCCCCCGAGAGAAGGAGGAAAAAAAATCGCGTTTTATTTTTGGTTGTTTTTCTGTTTGGGTTTTGATTTGTTTCGGTTTGGCTGTTCTTGCCGTTGGGTTGGGGGGGAAAATAAATCCCGTTTTATTTCTAGTTCTTTTGATGATTTCTGCGCATCTTCTTCTTGCTGCTCCTGCTGCTGCTGCTTAGTGTTGCGACCCTTTGATTCGGGAGGCTTTGCTTTTTTTGTTTCGGGTTTCTTTTGCCCCTTTTCTTTCGCCAGCTTTTGCAGTCGCCCCTTGCCGATTCCAAGCTTGGCCCCCGGTTCTTTTCCCCCCTTCAAAAATCGCGCGGAGTTTGGGTTTTTACCCCCCCGTCCCTTGGATTCGTGCACCGCCGAAATCTGTTCTTGGTGCGTGCAATTGAGTGCTAATTCGGTGCTGGGGGAGTGGGAATTTGAGAGATTGTTGAGGGGATTTTGAGCCCTTGGCGGCAGAATTTGGGGGTTTGGGAGGGCTGTCACTTTCGAGCCCTTTGCTTTTGAGTTAGGGGCGTGTGCACCTAAATTTGGAGATAATATTGGTGCGAGATGGAGAAGGTTTTGGTTGCCATGGTGCCCCGCGGCAGGATTTGGCGGATTGGTGTGTGAGCCTGCGTGTAGGTCACTGGTCTGATCTGGTGGCTTTTGTGTGATTTCCCACGGCGGTGATGCTCTCTGCAGCCGCCGTGATGGCGCCAGCCCCGGCCGCGGCGAAGAGCTCCCTGGAGGTCTTGCTGGAGACGATAAAGAAGCGCGATGAGCAGCCCAAGGATGCGCCTCCGGCATTGCCAGCGCGGCCGACGTGCCGCGGCCGCTTGCCCAGTGCAAGACGGCCATCACTGCCTTCTGGGGTTAAGCTTGAGAATGGCGCGGCAAAAGGCGCTGTGGCGGATACGGTGATGGCTGGGGTTAATCTTGAGAATGGCGCGGCAGAAGGCGCTGTGGCGGATATGGTGATGGCTGACAAGAAGCCAGGGGTTGAGATGAAGATTTGTGTTCAGGAGGCCAAGGAGGAGAATGTGGTAAAAACTCGCATATTTGGGGCCAAGAGGAAGTTCTCTAATGGGGAGGTTCTTGAGGAGTCGCCGTATGCTGATAACATTCACAAGGAAAGGAAGGAGATGATGGTCTCTAAGGAGCTCCCTTCTGTTTCTCCAAGGACAAAGACAAATGGGAAGCCGGTGTTCACTGATACCATGGATTATGTCCTCCAGAAGGTGAGAAGCTTGTTCATTGTGATTTGATAAGATTTTATCTTGTTATCATGTGAACAAAATGGTACTACTTGGCAACAAGTTCTCTGATCTATTTGTCTTTATTACATGGAAGTATCATGAACTGAATGCTTGCTCTTATATGATGGCAAGAAATCACTCATGAGTTAAGGCTGAGAATCGTTAGTCAAATTGATCCTTCAATTTGATTATATGTTACATTTGTTTGTTGTCCTGCAGTATTAATCAGTATATCTAGGCAGTTGTTGCTTTGTGCTTGTTCCTTGCCTGGGAAGTAGACCCTCTACTTGTTTTGGCTAGTGGGTCAAGAACACCTATGATTACCTTGCATGTTATTGTTACTCCGATCCTTAGAAGTATGGAACTATGGATATTTTGGACAATCAAAACAATTTTACATGTAATTGGGATTACTTCTCTTTTTTTTTTTTCAAATTTCTTTCCCTTGATGATTTGAATATGATGCTTTTGAGTTCAAATAGTTGTTAAAAAACCAGGCAAAGCCATAACATTTGATTTTTTTTATTTCTTCAGAAGCTCCGAGTTTGGTGTTCTTCACCAGATGCAACATGGAAACTTGGACAGATTCAATCAGTTTCTGGAGATGATGTTGAAATACTCCTGGTTAATGGAGAGGTGAGTCTCATGCTAAAGTAATGGCATACTTATTTGAGTGAATTTCTGTAACAGTTTCTTATCTAATGGTTTCTCTGTGTAGGTTTTGACACTGTCACCAGACAGACTCTTGCCGGCGAACCCTGATATTCTTGATGGAGTGGATAATTTAATCCATCTCAGCTATTTAAATGAACCCTCAGTTCTTTACGATCTGCAGTCCAGATATTCTCGTGATCTTATTTATGTAAGGTCTATCCTGCAAATTAATTATGTTTTTATAGTCTAGTTTGTCTCTTCATTTGTATTCTTGTCTTTGTAGACAAAAGCAGGGCCTGTTCTGGTTGCTGTTAATCCATTAAAAGAAGTTGCTCTCTATGGGAAAGATTTCATCTCGCAATACAGGAAAAAGCTCAATGATGATCCACATGTGTATGCAATAGCTGACTTGGCTTTTAATGAAATGCGAAGAGGTAGGTGCTAAAGGGATTAGTACATTTATACTATTTTTTCGCAACAAGTATAATCTGACGCAACTCCTCTCTGCAGATGGCGTAAACCAATCTATAATAATAAGGTTAGGACATGTTACTGTGCTTCCATGACAATAACAACAATTCTCTTAAGACCGTGTAGCCCAGTATTTTAATGCACTCTCTGTGGTCCTTGTATTATTTCAGTGGCGAAAGTGGAGCAGGAAAGACTGAGACAGCTAAAATTGCAATGCAATATTTGGCCACTCTAGGGGATGCCAGAGGAATGGAGTCTGAGGTTCTTCAGACAAATGCTATTCTGGAAGCATTAGGGAATGCAAAAACATCAAGAAATGATAACTCTAGTCGATTTGTGAGTTTATCTTCATGTAGAAAAATTGTCTTTCCATTGTTCATCATTTAATCATTTCTAAGTATTCTCATTATGCCATGATGATTTTAATATATAGGGTAAACTTACTGAAATACACTTCTCTGAAACTGGAAAGCTGTCTGGTGCTAAAATTCAAACATGTAAGTCTCCTGTACAATATATTGTTGAGATGTCTAGCGATAAAACCGTTGAACTTCCTGATAACGTGTTTTTTTGGGCATGTATGTTCCTCGAACTGAATCTCATGGAGCAGTCCTGTTAGAGAAGGTATGGTGATTCAGTTGTTATCAAAACTCTGATCTGATTTCTCCTTTGAAAGTTCTAATGTCCTGTATCTTGTCTATGCAGTCGAGGGTGGTTCGAAGAGCAACAGGGGAGAGGTCATTCCATATTTTCTATCAACTGTGCTCTGGAGCTAATCCCCTTTTAAAGAGTAATTACATTGCATTCGTTTACATGCTTGTTTGTCTTTGCAAAAATATATATTTCCTAGATAATGGTTCATCTCTTAATATTCCTCTCGCATCCTTATTACTGCAGAAAAACTGTTTTTGAAAGAAGCCGATTACTACAATTACTTAAAGCAGAGTGCTTGCTTGAGAATTGATGGTGTTGATGATGCTAAAAGATTTTCAATGCTAGTGGTAATGTTGCTGCAGATTTGACCATCATTTCTATCCAAATTTCTCTTATTATCTTACAATATCTGTTATTTATGTCAATTTTTCCATTTGCAGGATGCACTCGATATTATTCAAATATCTAAAGAAGACCAAATGAAATTGTTTTCCATGCTCGCAGCTGTCTTGTGGCTTGGAAACATTTCATTCTCTGTGATAGACAATGAAAATCATGTGGAGATTGTTTCAAATGAAGGTACAATTTTCCCCTTCTATGTAATGGGCATTTTTCTTTTCTTATGGTATGCACTGGGGAAAATATGTATAGAAATGTAAAACTATTAGCCACATTGTCTTCATCCTGCATTTGTAAAGAAAATTTGGTATAGCTGTATAGGTGCCAGTTGGTTTTCACCATGCTTAGTGAATGACTGCTGTGTAACATGTTTTTCAGGGTTGGCTACTGCAGCCAAGCTGTTAGGTTGCAGCGCTCCTCAATTGATGAATGCCCTCACTACACGTAAAATCCAAGCTGGAAAGGACAATATTATTCAAAAGCTGACATTAACTCAGGTAAGTTACCTGGCAAATTTAGCAGCATGGATCATAGGTCGCGCCTTATTATATTTTCCATCGTGTTTCTACTGTATGTTTTCTACTTTCTCTAGGCTATTGATGCAAGGGATGCTCTAGCAAAGTCCATTTACGCCCATTTGTTTGACTGGGTTGTTGAGCAAATTAACCACTCACTTGGAACTGGAAGAGAACACACATGGAGATCCATAAGTATTTTAGATATTTATGGGTTCGAGTCTTTCATTGTATGGAACAAAACACATTCTTTTTAATATGAATTTTTTCTTCTAATATCTCAGTTATTAACATTTAACTATACCACTACAGAAGAATGGTTTTGAGCAATTTTGTATAAACTATGCCAACGAAAGGCTACAACAGCACTTCAATCGACATCTTTTCAAGCTAGAACAGGAGGTAAGATTCTAACATTTCAAGGAATATTTGTTTGTGGCAGTGCCAAAGTTTTGAAATAATTATTAGTTCTATTTACATGTAAATTCTTTCTTGAAAACCAATTCTGGAATATATTTTGGTTTGCTTGCTCTGCATTTTTAGCAAAGGTGTAAATGAGTTTCTTACTCAGAACTTGGCATGTGATCAGATGCCAATATTTTTTATATCATCTTATGCTATTTGTTTTGCCATTGTCTTTCAACTTTTGAGTGCTTTTAGTCTTGTACCTGTTCCAATATGGTCATCACACTGGTTGCAACTTCTATTGATTGGTTACAACCGTGCAAGTTTGTATCTCTCAGTTATTTAGGATCTGTGTATATTGCCTTATCTTTCTTTGGCTCCCTTTGGCACAACCAGTTTGTGGGTGAAGCTTGAGGGACAGCTTTGATTCTTAGTGTAATATCAGACTCTGCTCACTCATAAGCTGCTACTGAATTTTGCTATTTGGCAGCACAATTGCTTTTATCTTTTTTTTTTTTGGGGGTGTGTGTTAAAGCTGGTAGTCTCATGCTTTTATCCCCTATATCAGTGCTAACTCTACACTTTTTTCAGGAATACTTAGAGGATGGAATTGACTGGGCAAATGTGGAATTTGTGGATAATGCTGACTGCTTAACTCTCTTTGAGAAGGTATCTAGTGTTACTTTCATGGAATCCCATAACTTTTCTGAATGTACATGGTCAGTTTGGAATGTTATGACTTCTGAGTTTGTTATTTGCATGCAATTCCTTTTTATTTGGCCTTTTTTTTTTTTTGAAATTTACTCTTTCTTTTAACGTGAATCCTTTTTATTTGCTTAGATGGTAGAGGCAGGCAAAACCGCAATACCATATTTTAAGTTTTTTTTCGCTGTTCTCTTCTTTTTTGCCTGTGTCTTTCCATGTATCCATCAGTTGCCTTTTTTTTAAAAAAAAAATTGTACTAGAGTAGGTACTACAAACTGTTGTAGCAGACCTTACAATAACGTCCAACCTTCTATTCAACAATTCTGAGCTATTCTAGTTTAGTGAACATTTTCCAAGATAAAATGAGAGAAGATTTTGACCAGACAGACAGAAGCACATCCTCAAGAGGAGTGTCTCTGTGGAAAATTCCATTGGTCATAAATCAAATGCAATTAATACTTATGTGCAATTATTAAAAAGACTGACATCATCATTGTTTTGCATATTAATACCTTGTGATGTAAACTTAATTTTACATGCTTTGTCTGTGCATGTACTGTTGTATCATTAATTTCTTTGCATTACAGAAACCTCTAGGGCTATTATCATTACTGGATGAAGAGTCTACATTCCCAAAGGCAACAGACTTTTCTTTTGCTAACAAGCTTAAGCAGCACTTGAGGGGAAACTCTGCCTTCAGGGGTGAACAAGAAGGTGCTTTTAAGATTTGCCATTATGCTGGAGAGGTTGGTGATCTGTGTTGACCTATCTTTCCATTGTTTCATTGCAGCCATCACTTTCTCCATCTGTGTGAACTTGTCCGTTTACCGTCAATTATCTCATTTGTTTTTGAAGCTTTACTTTATACAACTTGATTAATCGTACAAGTTGTGTTTCCAGGTGACGTATGATACAACTGGTTTCTTGGAGAAGAACAGAGATCCGTTGAACTCTGAGTTAATTCAACTACTCTCATCATGTAAATCTGAACTCCCAAAATACTTTGCCTCTGTCATGGTTGCTGATTCTCAGAATAAATCAACCTTGTCATGGCACTCAGCTGTTGATTCACAAAAGCAAAGTGTCGTGACCAAATTTAAGGTACCACTTTCAATCATTCATGTATTCATAGGATCAGATAATTTTGTTCAAGAGTGTTGCTCTTGTCCTCTACTTTTTAACTCAATATTTTGTATTTACTTCCATGGCAATGCTTTTAGCTCCTGGTCCATGACAGCTTAATGCATAATGTTGTGCACATTTCTATAAAGTTTGATGTTACATGTAACCATCTTCATGCTCTATTATGTTATCAGGCTCAACTGTTCAAGCTGATGCAGCAATTGGAGAACACAACTCCTCATTTCATTCGATGCATCCAGCCAAATAGCAAACAACGTCCCATGCTATTTGAGCATGATCTTGTTTCACACCAGCTTAAGTGTTGTGGGGTGCTCGAAGTTGTGCGGATATCAAGAGCAGGCTATCCAACTAGGATGACTCACCAACAGTTTGCTGAAAGGTTGCTAGTTTGCAGAATCAGACTTCATGAGCATACTTGTTTACAATGTTCAGTACTAGTGTACTAGCTGATTTCGAAATTCCATTTTTGTTTTTATAATCTGCAGATATGGGTGTCTTCTCCTGCGTTCCATTGCATCGCAGGATCCTCTTAGTATTTCGGTTGCTGTATTACAACAGTTCAATATTCCACCAGAAATGTATCAAGTTGGCTATACAAAATTGTTTCTTCGTACAGGACAGGTACAACGATTCTTACATTTTTGGATAAAATACACTTCAACAGTCCAATAGCACACACTGGCTTGATATGGATTGTCGTTCTCATTGATAACTTGTAGGTTGCTGCACTGGAAAATGCTAAGAATCGGATGCTCCATGGAGCCCTTCGGATTCAGAAGAACTTCCGTGGGTTGTGTACTAGACAAGAATACCAGGGACTGAAGAAAGGAGCAATGACTTTGCAATCATGTAATTCTCTTTATTTTTTCTAATGTTTTTAGTTTTTAATATTCCTAATAAATTGACCTTCTGGCATGTGTGGGATGTTTGACTTTCAAACCACTCCCTGGCTTTAGTTATCAGTTCGGAGATGCCAGATATTTGGTCTAACATTTTTGCCTTGCAAATTTGCAGTTATAAGAGGTGAAAAGGCAAGAGTTCACTTTGATCATCTTGTAAAGAGATGGAAGGCATCTGTTCTCATACAGAAGTATGCTAGGCGTCGAATTGCAGCTACCATGTTTATTGATCAGCTCAAATATGTTGTTCTTCTACAATCAGGTACTTTAAGAGTTGTGAGAAGGCTTTAGTGACATCATGTTGCAATATATAGCACATCCATCTAATCATGTGCTTCTGTATGCGTCTGCAGTGATGCGTGGGTGCTTGGCCAGGAAGAAATATAAGTGCCTGAAGGAAGAGAAGGACTCAAAGGCTAGTCACAGAAAAGTTATACATGTAAGGAATAATGTTTCACAAGCGCGGATGTATCATGTGAGTTCTCTGCAAATGATTTATATATCTCAATATTATGTAATCCTCCCTCACCTCCCAAGCTGCTTACTGCTTTAATCCAGTATTGAGTGAGCAATTGGGCAGTACATGATCTGACCGAGGATTTGAGATTGATGTTAGAGATTTTGTTTCTGCTATTTGCATGAGCACAATATTGACCTAATCACCAACACATAGCTATTGAAAACTTTCACTACTTGTGATATCCAAGTTTCCCTATTGAGAAGTCCTCCCTGTACAAGCTTTGAATTGATTCAACATTCTAGTGGCATAAATGTCAAAGGTGTATCCTCTAACGATTAGCATCCCATGGCAGGAAACGAATGGAGATTATCCTCGGCAACCAGTTATCACGGAACTCCAGGGACGTGTTTCAAAAGCTGAGGCTGCATTGCGAGATAAGGAGGAAGAAAACGAAATGCTAAAGCAACAATTGGATCAATATGAGAAGAAATGGTCAGAATATGAGGCCAAAATGAAATCTATGGAAGAGGCATGGAAGAAGCAGCTCTCCTCTCTGCAGGTAATTATCTACATTGTATCCTGTTAATTTTTCATGATGGCTTATTTTTGTTTGAGGGAGCACATAAACACTTTTTAAAACATGTTCTCATATTTAATGCCCTATTCTTTTCTGAATAAGATGAATATTTTACCTTGGTTTCCGTTAGCATGTTTTTTCAAACTGCTAAACAGTGTGTTTTTTTTTGCAAAAAACTTTCTATATAGAAGTCTCTTTAAAATATCAAATAAATCCAATTTTCAAGTTTGTAATAATTAAAACTCAATTAATCATATGTTAATGGCTTTCTCGTTTTATGTGCACTGATTTCATCTTCATCCATCTCAAACACCAGTATTATATGGCATGCACTTCTGTACTTTGGCATGCCAACCCATGAGCTAAATTATGCAGTACTGAGATATGGCTAAGATTTGAGTGATTGGAGTGTTTAGAGAAGAGTGTCTTGCAATAGTGTTTTCCTGTATTATCATTAGAAGATTACATTCCTTTGGAGTCTAAATGTAAATCATCTGTATTCATTTCAGTTGAGCCTTGTGGCTGCCAAGAAGAGCCTAACTGCAGAAGATGTGGCCAGCCGAGCAGCTCGAACCGACGCTGCTCCAATGCATGCTCATTATGATTCTGAAGATACGTCGACCGGGACCCATACCCCTGAAGGGACAGAGTTCAAATATCAAAACCACAACTCTGAGGCTAGAGTGGCAGCACCGAATTCAGATAGGCGGATAAACGCGGTGAACCACCTAGCCAAGGAGTTTGAGGACAGGCGGCAGGTGTTTGAAGACGATGCTGGCTTCCTTGTTGCCGTGAAGTCCGGACAAGTTGGTTCAAACATGAACCCAGACGATGAACTCCGAAAGCTCAAGGACCGATTCGCGACATGGAAGAAAGACTACAAGTCTCGGTTGAAGGAGACCAAGGTAAATCTTCAGAAGGTTGGTGAGGAGAAATCCCGGAAAAGATGGTGGGGGAAGAAGAGCTCAAAGTGAATGCATTCAATCTGAATCCAAGTGCATTTCCCTACATTCCCTGCTACTGCATCCAAGAAGAGACAATGGAAGAGACTGGGAGGTGAAAAACAAGGCTTCGAGGTTCTCTCCTCTTCATCGCAAGCCTGACGAGATGATGGTGATGTTGTTGATGACGATGATGAGCTCCATCATCAATGGCGGTGGTGCTGGCACTCGATCGTCCGGTGTCCAGCTTATCAGAGAAAAGATTTATATAGGTGAAAGCAAGAAGTCTGTACATGTATATTAGTTCTTTGTTGTCAGTGTATGTATGCCATCTTGTATGTAGAGAGATGAACCTGAGATATGGAAGGGTAATTAAATACAGATTATCCGCCATGAGCGAATAGAGATAATGCAACACCAGCTCTGTAATATGTGTACAGCAAGGAAATCATCGAATTTGCAAGGCGTTTTTACTCCATCTCTGCCTTTGTCTGCAAATGTTTTTGTCTCTGCTTCAACTGAAGTCTGCAAGGTTTGTATCTTCAAAAATCTGAATGATGAACTCTGTATCCAGTACTTGATGCAAGAAAATGCCACAGCAAATTAGCAATAATCAAACACTAGGTCTCGTATGGATCATTACAAAGTACACAAATGTACAAATTAAAACATCAAAAGAGTTAACTAAGCTTAAAGCAGCAGCTGACACATAAGTTGCAAACCCCAACTTTTTTCAGTTTCTGAATTCTGGATGGATCATATCAGATTCATCACAGCATCGTACAATCTGTGCAAGCATTGGTACATCGAGCGATGGAGAGAGAGAGTAGTCTACAATGGCGGCTGGGCCATTCACGAGCCCGGCGTGAACTTGGTGGCGTAGACCCAGGCGTTGTTGGCGACGGGGTCGGCGAGGTGGTCGAGCAGGTTCTCCAAGGGGCCCTTGCCGGTGACGATGGCCTGGACGAAGAAGCCGAACATGGAGAACATGGCGAGGCGGCCATTCTTGATCTCCTTGACCTTGAGCTCGGCGAAGGTGACGGGGTCGTCGGCGAGGCCGAGCGGGTCGAAGTACTGGCCGCCGGGGTAGAGGTCGTTGCCGTCGCCGACGCCGGGGAGGCCGTTGATGCGGTAGCCCTCGACGAGGCCCATGAGGACGACCTGGAATCCCAGCACGGCGAGGATGCTCTGGGCGTGCACCAGGTTGGGGTTGCCGAGGTAGTCGAGGCCGCCGTCGGAGAAGATCTGGGCGCCGGCCTTGAACCACACGGGCTCCTTGAAGTCGACGCGCACCCACTTCTCGAGCACCTCCGGCGTGATGCAGCCCAGCGCGCCGAGCATCGCCCACCGGCCGTGGATCACCTCCAGCGCCCTGTTCCTCGCGAACGCCTCCGGGTCCGCGGAGAGCCCCGCCGTGTCCCACCCGTAGTCGCCCGGGAACTCGCCCCTCAGGTACGACGGCGTCTGCGCCGAGAATGGCCCCAGGTACTTCACCCTATCCGGCCCGTACCACAGCTCCTTGCTCTGCACCCCCACAACCAAAAAATAGCTACTTAGCTACTCTGCACTCTTTCCGTCCAAAAATATAACAACAACTATGATGTATTCTCGAACATCCGATGATATTAGGTTGTTATATTCTTGAACGGAAAATAGTAGAGTAAGTGTGTACGTACCATGGTGATGCGGCCGGTGGCGGCGGCGGCGATGTCGCGGACGGGGGCATTGGAGGGGCGGGGATGGCCGAGGAAGGGGGTCTTGGCGGCGAGGACGCGGGAGGTTGGGGCCATGATCGTGGACGCCATCGGCGGCGGCTGAGCTGCTGCTGCTGCTTCTGCTGCTGGATTCGCTAAGACTAACACTACTCTAGAAGGGGAGGTGCTACGTGTAACGTATATGTAGCGGGGGAGTTTGTGGCGGAGGTGAGCGGGTGAGGTGGAGATTTCTGGATTTGGGCGGGGCCAATCGGGGCGCGGCTTCGGATCGTGGCGCTGCCACGTCGGATGCCTGCCTATCTCATGTGTTATCGCAGGTTTCGGCCCAGCAGTGTTTTTTGGGCCGGGCTGAAGAGCGCCTGGGACCCACATCCAGAAGCGATGGAATCCGTATAGGAGTATCTTCTATTTTTAAGAGGGATTGCCTAGCAAACATTCGAATGTTGGACGTTGTTCGTTTCGTCGTAAAAATTGTAAGCAATGTGAGTTATTGGAAGTTTAGGGAAAGTTTAAAAGGTTATTATATAACATCGATCAATAAAAAAGGACAAAAATATATTTTAAAAAACACTATAATGTTACAACGACATAATACTAACATCATAATAACATCAGCATATGGGTATAGCTGGGTGTTGTGTTTAGTACCTCTTATCAGATCTGGTAACCGTAACTTCTGCGTAGATTTCAGAATGCGATTCAGCACATAATGAGTTCTGTTGGCCTTGGCCATGGATGCATGGGAAACCAGAGCTTTCAGCTAATGAACCAATGCTAGATAGTACATAATCTTGTACAGCCAAAGCAAGCCTCTGCAGCTCTACAATACTCCCCCATTTCATATTATAAATAGTTAGATTTTTTTTAATCAAACTTTTTTAAATTTAACTGAGTTTGTAGCAAAATATAATATTATTTTTAATATAAAACAAACATTGTAACGAAACATATTCAATGTTCAATTTAGTGAAACTAGTCTGGTGTCGTCGATGTTGCTAATTTTCTCTATAAATTTGATTTAACTGAAAGATTAACTAAGAAAAAAAAGTCAAACGACTTATTATAATATGAAGGAAGAGAGTACTACGAAATCAAAGCCAAAGATCACAAGACATAGCAGGTAGCATGAAGCTACGACGACGCGTAGTGCTCCCTTATTGCCTGATTAAGCAATTCGAGCTCGTCCAGAAGATGGGTCGCGCCTTGGTCGACGAGCATCCTCGTCACGGCCGGGCCAAGCACGATCACGGCGGCGTCCACCGTCGCCGGCGCGACCTTGGCGCCGTTCCTGCGGCGGCGGATGGCCTCCTTCGCCCTCTTCCACGGCGACCGTGGTGGCGGCAGCACGTCCCGGAACAGCTCGTTGAGCTCTTCATCCAGCTCCCTCATCATCATCTGAGCCTCGGTCTCGCCGCCGCGGGGGACGAAGCAGCCGATGAGGAGCTTGATTAGCTTCATCGTCTAATCTTGTTACGAGGACGTATGCGTAGATGGATGCATCATTTAGGTAAAAAAAGGAGACGAAACTACGTACGTACACGCCTAGCGTTTTTAATTATGCAGGTGCGGACACGCGCCACGGTCGATCCGTCTCAGACTCGAGTATAGTAGTTGTACTCCATCTCTTTTATTTTGCAGGAGGTTTTAATTTTTTTTTTCTAAAATCGAATTTCTTTACACTTAATCCAGTGCAGAGAAAAACTTAGCAGGTCATCAACAACGCTGTCCAGCCGTCGTGCAGGTCGTTACGGTGTACATAGTACAGGTAGCTTCCGTGTGCATGTGGCATTTGCTACTTACATTGTGGTCACTATGTTCGGATGGGACTTCGAGACGAAAGTCTTGCTCGGCTTGCCGGTGCTGGTGACAGTGAAGCTCTTAGACGCTGATTACCTTTTTGAAGGCGTTGTTATGGAGCTCTCGTTCAACTTTATTTCAAGAGATTTCTCTAGGTAGGAGGTTGTTTTTACGCAATTGTAGGAGGTTTTAAAGAGTTAGAAAGTTCGATTATGAAAAAAAAACAAGTTGGCTTCAACTGATGAAGCAATATTGCTAGCAGGTACAGAATCATGTGTAGATCGTCAAATTAAAGTGTTGTTCGCTTTGTTGCCAGACTTAACCCTACTAAATTTTGGCAAAACCAAAATTTGACAAGGCAACAATCTAAACATTATCAAAAATTACCTACGCTACCAAACTTTGGTATTTTTAGAATCTTCTTCCCAAAATACCTGATAGATGTAGTAAATTAATTAAATACAACCTATACATCAACAACCTTACAAAATATTGACAACGTCAAAATTTAGTCACGTTGATTTAGGCATCAAAATAAACATGTCCTAAATCAAGTTTCAAACATGGAGCGTAGTTTGTGCGAGCAGCTGCATAGTAATAGCTATTTCATATAGCAAGACATTTTGCTAAAGCATTTTTGAATTCAAACCAAACCCAAGATCACAAGACAAGCGCGTGGATCCGGCATGATCAGGTCGGTCCAACCAGGAAAAAAAAAGAGAATATACCAATCTTTTTAAAAATAATTTACGTTCATATGTCTGTACGAGAAAAATTTGCATAAATATATCCACCCCGCAAAGTGAAAACGCGGGAATGCGGGAGCGTTGGCTGGGCTGTTCCCGCTGAACAAGGGAGTGGAACTGCGACGGTCCCGCGGGTTGAAACTACACCGCGGACCGGGAGTGTGGCAGCGTGGCACCGAGATAGTCCCGTGGCTCGAAAACGCGGCACCGATACGGTCCCGTGGTTTCGTCGTGCGTAGGGGTGGTGCATGCCGAGCCAGCTCGGCTCGGCTCGGCTCGCTTTAATCTAAACGAGCTGACTCGGCTCGGCTCGCTATCTAAACGAGCAGAAAACGCAGCTCGGCTCGTGCTCGCTACAAGCTCAAGCTAGCTCGTTTTAGCTCGCGAGCCAGCGACTGCACGGGGACGGGCAGGCCGCGCTGCGAGTGACGGCACAAGGGCAAGGGCAGCAGGCTATGCAGCAAGCGGCGGCGTGGTCAAGCACACGTTTTGACATGAATCTGGCACAGGCAGCAAGCAACCTTCATTAGCCAAAATAAATCCCAGCCCGAGAAAAGGTAAAGAAAGAAGGTTAAATTTGTAAGGTCAAAGGAACATTTGATTGAATCTTGCAGTTGAAACAAAACAAACGAAACACATGACGAACACCAACTCAGTGAGAAGTGTGAGAACCAAAATCTCTTACATGTGAACCAATTTTCCAGGACTCCAGGTGGGGCTTCGAGGATGTGAGGCAGGGGCCTTGCCTTCTTGTCCCTCTGCGGACTCCGCGAGCATGGCATCCTTCCAAGACTTCGTGATTGCGATTTTGCTAGCATGGTCTTGGTGCTCCTGAGTGGAGAGACCGAAGAATGCAGAGAGTATTTTGCAGCTGGTTTGCTACGGTAGAGGAGAGCGGCGAGATGGGCAGATGAGCTTCAGCGCCGCCGCACGGTTGTGCGGCTGAGACCTGAGAGGAGGACTGGGCGACGCGCTCACGAAGGCTAGGGTTAGCATTTTTGGGATGAGTTGCTGGGAAATGGGCCGGGCGACTCGCGACTGTGGTTGTTGGGCTGCTGGCCTGCTACTTGCCCTTAGCTCGTTGAGCTCGTGAGCCAGCTCGAGCTGGCTCGTTATGAGTAACGAGCTAAGATGCTAGCTCAGCTCGTTAAGAAAATGTAACGAGCCGAGTCGAGCCGAGCCGAGCTAACAACGAGCCGAGCAAGCCAA